GGCGGGAGAAGACGACACCACCAAAATCCCACCTTAGAGACGATCCGGCAATCCCACGCTTCCATCACAAGTGTCCATCGGTGGTATATCTAGGCACACCATACAATACATCACAAGTTGTCACTATCCCGCGAAGGCCGCGATTATCACCAGCAAATTGCCCCGCATTCGTAACATGACGTTTAAATGGAGGGTCACCTCCGCCCGCCGCCACACTTCGCCTCGATGTCTCATCCATCCAAAAGAGCATCAGTTGCAGCACGAACTTGCCATCATCCACTGGTCCTCCTAAGCAACACAGATCCACAATAAGGCTCCCGGGAAGAGAAATGACACCATTGACATCATCATTTGATCTGAGATCACCAAGACCTAGGGTTTCTGCCGGAGCAGCAGACAACTAGACGAGAATGGTATCGACAACCCCTTCAGCAATGTAATGACGCCCAAAGGCATCGCCACCATCGGGCCGGAAAATCTGAGCACAACTTTTGCCATCCATCTCGCCATAGCTGAACAATCCGTCCCTCGACACATCAGCCGAGAAAGAACCACACCACTGTCGCATGCAGCAGTCGAGCCACAAGCCGACCCGCCCCCCACCGAGCCCAGCAACCACCTGTCAGACCGCCACTTGACGAGCCCGCCACCGCGTGCATCGGAGCGCCGCTGACCGCCACCAAGATCCACCACCCGTTTGTCCCGAGGTGCCGCGAGAAAGGTCCCCGCCGCCGCCGTCGGCCGCACGAGCTTCACCCTGCGACTTCCTGCCGCGGCGACGCTTAGGGTTTGAGGGGGAACCCCAAGTCGCCCTAACCGAGGACGACGCGAGGGATGGTGTCCAAGCTCGCTCACCCCAAGGATGAAAAATTAACCGATTAATTCAGGGGTGTCATACCGGGAATTGGCGTGCATACTATACATTTCTAGCCAACGAGCCACGCACCATGTTAGGGAGATCCAACACGGTCGCGACAGGATCGTGTCGTTAAGCAGCGAATGATTCGCCGTACACAAGTACAAAGCACGAGCTTAAAAAATTGGAGATGATTATATAATATATTAGACAATGTTCCGTTGTCGATAACCATGCAGTAGGGCACTGTGCTAACTACACAAATCCACATCGAATAATTAAGGAGATCGCGAGGCACATATGTCAACAAGATCCTTTCGGAAAACAAGAACTGAGCGGTAGTATTTTACTTCCACGTGCAACCATGTGATTGCGCCTGTCTTTTTCTTTGTATGTTCTTCCAAGAAAACCAATGTTAACGTTGCTTCGAGATCATGAGTAGAGCGTATTTTGTACGTGATATTGTATTATTTATGCACGGTGCTTTGTGTCGGTCGACCGGACCATACACGAGATTGATCGCCACGTGAGCCGTTTGATACAGTTGCGTCTGGCCGTTGACCCCCCTCCCCTCACCTCTGCTCTCTCCGCTTCCTCTCTCACAACGCCCCTCCTCACTGGCGATGACGATGGTGCGTCTTTGATTCGCTTTATTATGTTTGTAGTCGTCACTAGGTGATCTATGAATCTAAACATATTTTTTTATTATTTTTAATGTTCGTTATAGTGTCATAATTAAACATGAACAGATTGAAAGTTTCTCGGAAAAAAAACAGCCCTCCTAACTGACCCCCACCCCCCTCCTTCTCTCTAGCAACAAAACCCCCGCATCCTTACCCGCAGCGGCACTGCCGCCATCTAGGTCCTTTTGGAAAACAAAAACCAATATTTTACTTACACCTAAAAGAATGCAATGTCTTTTTTGTTCTTCCAAAAAGCAACAACGTAAGGTTTTGTCGTCCAACCCAATTGCCATTACCTTTTACCTTTCAAAAAATAATTTTAAAAATTGCCATGTTGTGGGAAAAATACCAAAAAAATGTTCGAAAGAAGAGTAAAACACACAAAATCACCATCATGGAACCGAGTAAATTGCGAAAATGGTTGGTAAGAAAACACATAGGAAAATTTCTTTAATTTACCCATAGGTAGTAAAAAAAGCGGCGGCCAAAGGTTGCTATGTTCATGAAAAATTGAAAATAAGTGCTTGGCCATTTGTAAGATTATTGTATTAGATAGAAATCAATTTAAAACGCAAAATCAAGAGTTGCCATGTGATATAGCCTAAAGAAATATTGGGTATGCTATCGTAAAAAACAGAAAAAAGTTTGCCATGGTGTATGCTAAGGTAAAATTGTCGTGTTGCATTTAAATAATTTGCAGTGGTATCAAAATAAATGGACTAAAATAATTTCCGATAAATAACTTGAAATGCAAAATGATGAAGTATGTAAAAGAATAAATTGGTTATGGTCCAAAAATAATATTTGCCATGTCACGAAAATTAAGATTGCCATGGTTCGAAAATAAATTTGCCATCATACGAAAATATAATTTGCCATGTCATAAAAAAATAAAAATGCCATGGTACTCAAGGTAAATTTGCCATCATGAAAGTAAGAAAATAATAATTTGCCATGATCCAAAATATATTTTTTCCATGTTACAATAAATAAAATTGCCATGGTACTAAAGATAAATTTGCTATCATGAAATTAAGGAAAAAAACTAATTTTACATGTTACAAAAAGATGTTATTATGTGATTTTACGTTTAAAAATTTCCTAAAATTTACCATGTGGCTTGGCAAAAAAAAAGTCATGTCTCTTTATGAAAATGCCTTGTTTTTATGAAAACATTTATTTCTTCATTTTTCCATGAACAAGTAATAGCGATGTTAAGAAAACTGCCATGTTTTCTAGAATAACATGGCAAAAACATGATACAGATAAAATGAAATAAAGGTTATACAGTGTGCACATTATATGCAAAAATTTATATATATTTGCGATGATTGAAAAAAATGCTATGAATTTGCCATATGACAAGTAGATGTTTTAAATAAAATTTGCAATGTGTGTGCAACAGCAAAAATCAAATAAATGTTATACAATTTGCATGCCCCCAAGGCGCGCAAGCCGCTCTCCTTGCTACCGTCGCTCGATCTTGAGCACCCC